ACTTTGCAAGCCCAACCCTTTGACAGGACTCACTTCTGTCAGAAGCTGTGTGAATAGTGAAAGCAAAGTATGCCATTTAATCATTGCACATGTCCTCTCATGAAAAAAATAAAACAAAACAGAAAAAACCCTTTGTTGGAGCCAGAAGGACATTTTGCAACCAATAGCTGTGGGAAATCCTAAATGCAACCTGCTGCTGCTAAGTCGCTTCAGTCGTGTCCGACCTGGGAGATATCTAAATGCCAGCCTTATAGTAACTGCATTTATCTAACATAGTGTCACACTTGTAAACTGCAGACTCTGGGGGAAGATTACAATAGCCCACTCTACCTATGTCAAAAGACTCTGAGGTTTGGACTCGATGGAAAAACAGTCTGGATGAGACTCTGAAATAAAACTAGGTCCTCTCTCTATTAGATCTGACTTTCTAAGTCAGTTTGAATTGTCAAACAGATAAATTGATACAGAAAGATCAGTATGAAAAGGAACACTTAAACCTGTTTTTGATATTCTGTTTTGGTGTACAGCAAACTCTAAATAAATAAATAAATAAAACACACCTTCTTGGAGTAGTATACAATATAATATATGCTATTTGGTTGATTAGGGGGCTTCCCCGCTGGCTCAGCAGGTAAACAATCCACCTGCAGGAGACACAGGAGGCAGAGGTTCGATCCCTGGATGGGGAGGATTCCCTGAAAGCAGAAATGGCAACCCTCTCCAGTACGCCTGCCTGGAGAATCCCATGGACAGAGGAGCCCGGTGGACTACAATTCATGGAGACTCACAGAGTCAGACTGGACTGAGTGAGCATGCTACCTCTCCCTCTCTCTCTCTCTAAAAATATTACTTACATCTCACACTTGAATATCATACAGGTCTCTGTTAAGGAGTAAAATATATACCTCAAATATCCCAGAGGGCTTACAGGGGTCATCCTTCATTCCCTAGTTTGAGAAACCCTGACCCAAAAATCTAAATGATTATTTGAAAAAATAATTCTCCACAGGAGATTGTTATCAAAAATAACTTTAAAACATAAAATATCTTATTTTTTATTAAAACCAACTTACAAAATATTCTCAAAGACTTTATGATCCATCTCTGAATTTCCATGAAACTAAACTTAAGAAAATGGGTTTGTCTGATTTTCCATTTGACTATTTTCAGCAAACAGCATTAGGTAACCAATCTCTTTTTAGGGACCTAAGGTAGCAAGGACTACAAACACTTATCCAGACAAGTCAGACCTATTTTCCATCTACTGCACAGGTGAGTATTTCAACCTATAACTGCTTCATTATAAATTAAAGGATATATTTTTGGTATCAAATGAAAGGCTCAATTTTATTTCACCTAATAGTCTCTTTTAATGATATCTAATTAGGACATCTGTTCAGGGTTCACAATGTTACATCCTTCATTTGGTTTTTACCATTAAATTAGCATTATGGTGATTTAACTTTTCTATTAAAAGTTCATTATTAATGGAAATGCATAGATAAATGAGTATGTAGTTCACATATATATATGTATATATACGTACCTTATGATACTAGAATTTGCTTCCTAAGTAGTTTGAATGAACTCCTTTTTTTAGCTAATAACTGGATTAATCTTATTAAGGATTTAGAATCCCCTTTTCCCCCTTCTCAGAAAATCTCTAAATTCGAGTCCCTCCATAGAAGTTCTAGCATTAACTACATATATCAGTTGACAACTGGAAGATTAAAACGATGATGTAATGAAGGCACAAGTATCTGATGCCTTTTAAGATTCTGTTCTGCAGCAGTGCACTTTGAAATAACTTCTTAAATGAAAACAAAAATATAAATAATTTTTATCTCCAACTTATAAAGTTTATAGGGTCTAAAGTCTCATTATTAACTATACAAGTTGGATCTTTGAAAACATCGATGGAAAAATGTTCTTATAGGTAATATATTTTCAGTTCTTATAGTGATTTCTTTAGTCTTACAGATCATTACCAAATTAAAGATTTAAATTAAAGTTCTGATTTTTCTCCACATGAAACTGCCATAAAGTATTTTCACTTCTAAGATATATCTAACTTCAATGTATATCTGATTTTACTATGGAACACTGGTTATAAATTCAGCCTTAATTCATTCTACATTTTTATTTAATTCTCCCCATTAGTTTTATAGACATTCTGAATTATTATATTCTATTCATTATACTCTAGTATTTAAGTTAACTGGGCAACTGTTTAACTCATTCTGGTCACTTATCATGTACTTGGGTTTAACATCATTATTCATAGGTCACATAATCCTATATTATCAGTTTCTATATGTCTATAGAAACAAAACAGAATCTCAAAGTGAATGATGCTAGAAATGGAATTTTTGAGACATCTGTGGTATATCATTTTTTATATAAAACATGACAAATAAACCTGGGAAATAAATTATCACATTTCAAAGAATCAAAACACAGAGACCACTCATAGATTACTCAGGAAAATATGTTGATCACATTTAAATTACTGCTAATATAAACTACTCAAAACAAGCAGGAAGGAATTATACTTTCTAAAATATTGGCTTTAAGCCGATTCAAGTAATAATGGTGTTCCTATTGGTATGCATTTAGAGAAAGTGTTTTAAAATGAGAAAATTCAAAAGTGTACTTTCGTTTTCATTAATAGTTTTAGCAATAATGCTGATTTTTTACGGAAGTACAACCACTCTGACTTTAAATTTTAACTCAAAGCTTTAATTTTGTAAATCATAAGTATAAGTGGTGGATAATATATGAAAATACTTCAGACTTGTGGCTGGTAATGATTGTTACAATTTCTTTGACACTCCTCTTATTGAAAAGTGGAATCTATTTTGACTCTCCCTGAAACTGGGTTAGTCTGTGACTTCTTTGATGTAAGAAGTACAGTGCAAGAGGTGATACAGCATTTATGGAAATATTAATAGCCTTTAAGAGGAGTGCCAGCTCCCCCCTTGCTCTCTCGTGTCTGGCGGTGACAAGTCAGAAGTATGACTGCTCTATCAGAAAACCCTCATGAAGGGGCCCTGAGACCACATGGAAGGAACACAGGATCCCATTTAAGCCCCTCCTTTCACATGCCCCCAACCAAGGTGCCAGTCATTGTAGACAACCTGGCCCAGCTGCACAGCTATCAGACAAAACCCTTCAACATCAGATGAAGAAGAGACTTGCCCAGATGCGCCTGAAAGTCAAACCCACAATATCATAAGATTTAATACATTGGTCCCTATTTTTAACCTCTAAACTCAGGACAGTCTGATAAGTGGTAAGAGAGAACTAGAACAAAAGATTTCCTTAAAGGTAGGATTTTCTTTTTAATGAAATGATGCAGGCTGTTAGTTTTCATTCAAATTGTTAATTATAAAAAGTCTGCTATGAAAAAAATGAGCAAGAATTTTCATGCAGGTGATCTTTGAGCCACATAAATGGTTCAATGGGTAAAGGATCAGCCTGCAATGCAGGCGACACAGGAGATGTGGTTTGAACCCTGGGTCAGGAAGATCCCCTGGAGAAGAAAATGGCAACCACTCCAGTAGTCTTGCCTGGGAAACCCCATGGACAGAGGAGCCTGGAGGGCTACCGTTCATGCAGTTGCAAAGAGTTGGACATGACTGAGTGAGTGAACATGCACACACACATTCAGAAGCACTGCTAGTGCTAGATTGTTCTCAAGGGGATAACGTTATTGAGAAGCAGACCTAATAAACCTAAGATCCAATATACGGCAGATTTTAATTATTCATTATTATGTAAAAACATCTATGTCAGCGATCTGTGCTATTTCTATCAATTTTTCTTGGCAAAAGAAATGTTTTTTTCCTATTGAAGATAACAGCTATCAAAACCTTTCTGAGAAGTATAAAGATTCACTCCACTAGAAATTTATCATAAAAATATGGTGAGGGCTCTAAAGAAACTAATTATAAAGGAATACATCTTCTACAGCAGGCAGAATACCATGCAGAGTAATAAATATTTTTCAACCATAGAATATAATCTATTGTATCTAAGATAGCATAAGATTCCAAGATAAATGAAACATTTCAAAAAATCAATGAACTTGACGAATTTTGAGGACTTTTCAAGAAACAATATTTTTCACATTGACAGACTGTTTCTTACAAAGTGGAGAAATTAGCACATTTCTAGCCATACACATGTCTCCTATATGAGTCCTGAGAAATATATATAAATAATGATTTTTAAGGGAGCAATCATTTTAATTCTTTTTATGCTCTGAGTGCTGATGTGATAGAGAAAGCTCCAACTCAAAATATTCATATTAATTTTCTTTATAAAACTGAGAACTACATTTTTACAAAAGAAGCTGAAACAAGAAAAGCTGATCAGTGATATTAGGCAGTGACATCGTGTTAGAAAGACAAAAATTAAAGTCTCCTCAGGCATTAACCCTAAGAGTCCAAGTGCCAAATTCGGTTAAGCACTCTGCTTCTGCTTTTCCCTCAATGTATTTATAAATCCCTAGAGCCTAATAGCCTGAGAAGTCTAGCAAAAAAGCAGCAGGTAAGAGTTTGAGAAGATATCCAGAATTTTCAGTCAGCTCGTGATGTACAGAAAGGAAAAAAAATGTTCAATATATTTGAAAAGGCGTAAATGATGTAGCATAGAGAAGAAAGAAAATATTGAAAAAGACAGAGAGATAATATGGAACAGAGTATAAATTTGGAATCCACTAAAGGCAGATGGAACATAAATATTATCTGAAGAGATCCTGATCAATAATTTTCTAAAATTCATGAACGTCATGCTTCAGATTCAAGAAGTGCCACAAACTTAAAGCAGAGCCAGAAAATCTATAGGAATGAAAGGTTGGTGGCTACTTGGAATTAGGGACAAGATTGAGGAGTAATTGCAAATGAGGTAATTCTTTCTCTCTCTGTTTTTTTTTTTGGCCCTGCCTCAGGGTATGTGGGATCTTAGTTCCCCCTGCAGGGGAAGTAAGGGTCTTAACCATGGTACCCTCAACCTCGGGACCCTTAACAGGGACCCTCAACCACAGGACCCTCAACCACGGGACCCTCAACCACAGGACACCTAACCATGGGGCCCTCAACCACAGGACCCGTAACCACAGGGACCTCAACCACAGGACCATCAAGGGAATCCCAGAGATTTCTCGCAAAATTCTAAAACCAAATAGTGGTAATGGTTGCAAAACTCCATAAGTTTACTCTATATCATTGAATTGTACACTTAAAAATCAGTGAATCTTGTGTCATGTAAATTATACATCAATAAACCTGGTAAAATAACCAAAAGCAGGATTCAATATGGAGAAAACTACACCTAGAAATAAGACAGGGTATGCAAAAGAGCAATGAAAAAGAGTAGATATCAAAAGCACTCAGATAAAAGATGTAATACCTTGGAATTTTTTAAAGTAACATTTGGTCTACTGGTGGATAGAGCATATTTTCAGTATTCTGAAACAAAATATTTTTAAATAAATATAGAAATCTGGAATATCATTCATCTGGTTGTTAACAGTGATTATGTTTTTAGGGGTAAGATTAAGATTAGAGCCAGACATTCTGGAATGTGAAGTCAAGTGGGCCTTAGGAAGCATCACTATGAACAAAGCTAATGGAGGTGATGGAATTCCAGCTGAGCCACTTCAAATCCTAAAAGATGATGCTTTGAAAGTGCTGCACTCAATATGCCAGAAAATTTGGAAAACGCAGCAGGGGCCACAGGACTGGAAATGGTCAGTTTTCATTCCAATCCCAAAGAAAGGCAATGCTAAAGAATGCTCAAGCTACTGCACAACTGCACTCTTCTCACACACTAGCAAAGTAATACTCAAAATTGTCCAAGCCAAGCTTCAACAGTATGTGAACCATGAACTTCCAGATGTGCAAGCTGGATTTAGAAAAGGCAGAGGAACCAGAGATCAAATTGCCAACAACCACTAGCTCATAGAAAAAGCAAGAGATTTCCAGAAAAACACCACTGTTTGGTTTATTGACTAAACCAAAGACTTTGACTGTGTGAATCACAACAAACTGTGGAAAATTCTTCAAGAGTTGGGGAATACCAGACCATCTGACCTGTGTCCTGAGAAATCTGTATGCAGGTCAAGAAGAAATAGTTAGATCTGGACATGGAGCAACAGACTGGTTCCAAATCAGGAAAGGAGTACATCAAGGCTGTATATTGTCACCCTGCTTATTTAACTTATATGCAGAGTATTTCATGTGAAATACCAGGCTGGATAAAGCACAAGCTGGAATCAAGACTGCCAGGAGAAATATCAATAACCTCAGATATGCAGATGACACCACTCTTATGGAAGAAAGTGAAGAAGAACTAAAGAGCCTCTTGAAGCAGAACTAAAGAACTAAAGAACCACTTTAAAGAGCCTTTAAAGTGAAAGAGGAGAGTGGAAAAGTTGGCTTAAAACTCAACATTCAGAAAACTAAGATCAGGGTCCATTTCCATCACTTCACGGCAAATAGAACAATGGAAATAGTGAGAGACTTTATTTTTGGGGGGCTCCAAAACCACTGCAGATGGTAACTGCAGCCATGAAATTAAAATAAGCTTGTTCCTTGTTCCTTGGAAGAAAAGCTATGACCAACCTGGAAAGCATGTTAAAAAGCAGAGACATTACTTTGCCAACAAAGGTCAGTCTAGTCAAGGCTATGGTTTTCCCAGTGTTCATGTATGGATGTGAGAGTTGGACTATAAAGAAAGCTAAGCACAGAAGAACTGATGCTTTTGAACTGTGGTGTTGAAGAGTTGGACTCTTGAGAGTCCCTTGGACCAAAAGGAGATCCAACCAGTCCATCCTAAAGGGAATCAGTCCTGAATGTTCATTGAAAGACTGATGCTGAAGCTGAAACTCTCATACCTTGTCCACCTGATGCAAAGAACTGACTCATTGGAAAAGACCCTGACACTGGGAAAGAGTAAAGGCAGGAGGAGAAGGGGACCACAGAGGATGAGATGGTTGGATGGCATCACTGACTCAATGGACATGAGTTTGAATAAGCTCTGGGAGTTGGTGATGGACAGGGAAGCCTGGCATGCTGCAGTCCATGGGGTTGCAAAGAGTCAGACATGATTAAGTGACTGAACTGAACTGAACTGAACTGAACTGAAGATTAAGAATGATGATAACATTTATCTCACAATTAGTAGCTGAATATTTTACAATGATAGCTATTGGAAAAAATGTCTTAAAATATGTTAGAAGAATATAGTGAAGTGGAATTTATTCAGTAAATATATAGTAAAATAAAATCTGTGCCACAACACTACTTTCAGAGTATCAAAATAATTAGAAATGCCAAGGGTATTTTGTATATAGCAAATTCTTAGAGATGGCATGATTACATCTTAGGAATGATGTAGTCAATCCAATTTATGTGCACTTGTTAGATAACCCTGAGTCTTTTTTTCCAATCTATAAAATAGCATCATATTTGAAGCCACTGGTCAGGGTTACAGTCAAAGTCTCTGTATAATGAAGTGCTTGAGAATTTGAGAAGTCCGTCTGAGATCATTCTATTATTCTTAAAGGATCTATCCTACTACGAGTGTTCCCATCCTATAAGATAAGACACTGTGTCTCACTGAGGTCCACAGTGAATGTGCCTGCATATCAGAACCTGGATAGATTCTGTAGCAAAATTAGAAATGAATTGCCCAAGCCTTATTCCATGCTGGCTCAGTGGTAAAGCACCCGACTGCCAGGGCATAAGACATGGGTTGGGTCCTTGAGTCAGAAAGAACCCCTGGAGAAGGGAATGGCAGCCCACTCCAGTATTCTTGCCTGGGAAATCCCATGAACAGAAGAGGCTGGCAGGCTACAGTCGATGAGCTTACCAAAGAAGTGGACACAGTTTAGCAACTAAACAGCAGCAACAAAAGAATCTAAGAAGCCAAATGTTTGATCAAGACCTTGGCCAGAAATGAAGCTTAAATAATTTCAAGGGGAACCCAGGACTCAAAGGATAGTTTCATGTTGGTACTGGTTGGAAAGGGAATCCTATTTGCTGCATAATTCCAGCAAACAACCCTGTGAAGACCAGGTGAAATGGGGTTTCATGGCAATAACAAAGCCTGAAAAAGTAGTCAAGAATTCATAATTACACGAGTGTCCTGTGTGTTCAGTTGCTCAGTCATGTCCAACTTTTTGGGACCCATGGACTGTAGCCCACCAGGCTTCACTGTGCATGGGATTTTCCAGGCAAGAAAGCTGGAGTGGGTTCCCATTTCCTCCTTCAGGGGATCTTTCCAACCCAGGGATCAGATCCATGTCTCCTACATTGGCAGGTGGATTCTTCACCATGAGATACCTGGGAAGCCCCATAATTACATGATCTCTGGAAAATCAATGAAGCCTATCCAAGTTACAAAAATCAGTTTTATTGACTCTTTTTGTTCATCAATTCACAAATAAATTTTAGTTATACTAACTTTCGCATCTGACAAACTTCAGGTAACTCGGGTATTTGTTCATTTTCTCTATAACATTGCAATGAGTCACAAATAACACACCTTGCCCTGCATTATTGGTATTTGTTAAAATGGAAGACAAACCATCTACCTTTACAAAGTAAAAAGGTAAATTAGGAATGGGTACAAAACTCCTGGTGGTTTGCTTCCAGCATGATGATACTGCCTCAGTTTCTCACAGGAGGATAAGGTAAGGTTTCTATGAATCACACTCTTCAAATAGCAAAACCTGAATTATTTTCACTAATGTTAGTGGACAGAAAAGTCACCCTTGTCTTAATCTACAGTGTTAATGTAAGAAATTCAAACATAAAATTTTTCAAATTAAGCAGATTATTTTAAATTATAAGGCAATTAAATGCCTTATTTTAGCCATAATTTTAAAAAGTATGGACATGAGTTTGAGAAAATTCTAGGAGATAGTGAAGGACAGGGAAGGCTGGAGTGCTGCAGTCCATGGGGTCACAAAGATACACAACTTAGTAACTGACCAACAACAACAGCAAAGTATCTCAAGCTAACTCAAACAAAAATAAAACCTCACATTAAATTTTAATAAAATGAGTATCAATCTTGAGTTATTAGGAAATTTTGACTAAGCTATACATTGCTTAAAAACATGTTAAAATGGAATTGTGTTGATTGAATATTGTTGGCTGCCCATAATTTATCCCACAAATAGTGAGTCAAGCCAGAGACTTAAGCAGTAAAGATTTGTTCCAGTTTATGCTCACAAATGTTGGAGACTATAAAATTCAAGGCACAGTTTTAAGTATTTTGCCACTGGCCAAAATACATTATATCAACAATACATTATATAAACTGCTTTTAACGTCCAGTGATAAAGTAAACTATTGGGCAGATAGCAAGACAGGATTCAAATCACCACTCTAGAGTAAACCTGTAACTCTATGTATTTATATGAAATGTACAAGATGTTCTAGAACTAACACCCAAAAAAATGTCCTCTTCATTATACGGGACTGGAATGCAAAAGTAGGAAGTCAAGAGATACCAGGGAAATTTGGCCTTGGAGTACAAAACAAAGCAGGTCAAAGACTAGCAGAGCTTTGCCAAGAGAACACACTGGTCATAGCAAACACCCTCTTCTAACAACACAAGACAAAACTCTACACATGAACATAACCAGATGGTCAACACCAAAATCAGACTGCTTATATTCTTTGCAGACAAAGGTGGAGAAACTCTATACAGTCAGCAAAAACAAGACCGGGAGCTGACTGTGACTCAGATCATGAACTCCTTCTTGCCAAACTCAGATTGAAATTGAAGAAATTAGGGAAAACCACTAGACCAATCAGGTATGATGTAAATCAAATCCCTTACGATGATACAGTGGAAGTGACAAATAGATTTAAAAGATTAGATCTGATGGAAAGAGTGCCTGAAGAACTGTGGGTGGAGGTTTATGACATTGTACAGAAGGCAGTGATCATGACCATCCCCAAGAAAAAGATGCAAAAAGGCAAGACAGTTGTCTGAGGAGGCCTTACAAATAGCTGAGAAAAAAGAGAAGTGAAAGGCAAAGAATAAAAGGAAATATATACCCATTTGAATGAAGAGTTCCAAAGAATAGCAAGGAGAGATAAGAAAGCTTTCCTCAGCGATCAGTGGGAAGAAATAGAGGAAAACAAATGGGAAAGACTAGAGATCTCTTTAAG